CGGGCGGCAGCTACTTGTTTTTATATTGGACACTCGTTTGACGTTTCTCTGAGCAAAAAAAAAATTTAAATTAAGTTACCGTCATACAAATGTAATTTATTGGTGTAGCCTAAACCAAGTGGAGTAGAAAAAAAACATTAACTTGGAATAGTAATATTGTTGTTACATTATTGCAACATTTTCTTTAGAAAATACCCTTTCGCTTCTAATTCATAGAGTTAGGCTGCATATTCTTAGCATAATTACATATTCTTTTTAATCTACGTGCATGTAAATAAAATTATTTAGACAAATAATAGAATTTATGTTCCTGGTCATTTTACCTGATCACTTAATGTAACCTGTAGCCTGATAGCTATGTGTCTAAACTTTGTAAACCATTGCACGTTTAGTGAGATCTAAGTAAGTAGAGTAAAAACTAATAATTTCCACACATGAGCTTCCTGAGTCTGGGAATATGGAGCCTCCACTATGATGAGTATGACTGGTCTTTACTGTCCTCTTCTGGTTATTCTGTCAAAGCAGATCTAGCTGTTAGATGTAGTTTATTAGCTTGCATAAACGCGTGGTTAACGAAACACTCTGAGATTTGTGAGTCCAGATACAGTAAATGAATGAGGACATAATAATAAGACATGAAAAAATACTTTAGTAATTTATAGCAAATACTACAGTGTTTATGAACCATACTATAGTAAAGTACTTGAATTAATTTGTTGTGGTAATTCTATAGTTGCCGTGGTAACATAACAACTACAGTAATATAAATAAATTACTTTACCCAATACTGTACTAAGTTTTCTACAACTATAGGGTATATTATACTACAATACACTACAGTTTACTATAGTAAAAACTAAAGTATACTACAGTATTTATCCCAGTTTATCAGTTCACTAGAGTTAATCCTACAGTATGCTGTAGCATTCATTAACAAAGTGTTGTAAATACTCTAATATGTACAGTATAATACACTTTACTATAGTATGGTTCAAAAACACTAGTATTTACTATAAATTACTATAGTATTGTTTCATGTGGGATTCCACAAAAGATTTAGCAGCTTCTGTCTGTTTGGTTCCACATACGGCTGCATGATGTTCAGAGCAGCTGACGTTTATTTTAAAGACGATCTCTGATGATTTCAGTCTGATCTCAACAGATTTCAGCTCTGATTGAACCGGATGCAGCTTCACAGAGTGACTGTTTATTCTGTACGTAAATGCAGCAGATGTAACATATTTAAACAACCTTTTAATGTTTCATCATTATCAATAAAGCATTATTTTTCTGAACATTGTAAAATAATTCGAAAATTTCAATTCATACAAAATACAAACCAACAAAATGTTTATTGCCTAAGTGGTTTATTTTTTAGAATACATGCTCTATCAGAGCAGAATAAAGCGAACCCATTATTCAGCAGACAGAAGCATAATATACATATAAATACACATATAAATATAAAATTAAAATATTTAAATGTAATATTTAAATTAAAAATTGTACAAAATATACATATGCATAAGAACACTGTCTGTTTGGCACAGATATGCATGCTTATATTATTGCTTTACTGTGTTATTACTTCACTTTGTTTCTTTTAAATTCACTGTTTAAGATTTTTCTAAAGCTCTCGGTGCCTCCTGTTTTACTCACTACGATATTTAGAGTCATCAGTTTTGTCTTTATCAGTGTCATCCAGTTTTTGCTTTGATTCTGTACAGAATATTGAAATGCTAGTCTCACAGTTTAGTATTAATTAGCTTTTTAAACATAATATTTCTGAACATCCACTGAGCTTCTCTCACCTGTGACTGTCACTGTGATCAAGATTTCTCCTTCATAGCCCAGAACTCTGTATGATCCTGCGTCTCTGGCTGTGAAATTACTAATGATCAGGTTTCTATCTCAAGTAGCCAGCGATATTAGAAGTGGCACATTACAAAGGTTTCAAATGTTGATGACAATGTTTATTAATCAATGAACAGCAGATAAACCAGTGATGTGTGCGTTATTTATATAAACCAATAGGAAACTTCCACCATCAGTCCACAAATACCCACCAAATCACCAGGATGAGCGGGCCCTCAATGCTTCTGGGTCTCCTGTACTCAGCAAGGTTATTATGGTTTTGAATTTTTTTCAAATTTGCTATACAATTCAGTTTAGTTTTTATTAGTTTCATTAATATTGTTGTTAGTTTTAGTTTAGTTTTTATTTTGTGAAGACATTTTTATTTAGTTTTTATATAGTTTAGTTTCAGTTTTAAATTAGTGCTGCTGTTGGATAATGGGTCGAGTGTTCTGTTCAGTACTGCTGGTGCACGTTTACCAAACACTCTGCTTTAAACTGCTTTACGTCTCTCCGTCAGATAACATCACATGCGCCATGCGCCATTTACAGGTATTTCCCTAAACCGCCACATTTTTATTTTATTTCAGTTTACGAAATCTTTTTTTCATCAATCGTTTTCGTCTTAGTTTTAGTTTTCGTTCACGAAAATAGCCTTGCAGTATACACTATACACATATATATTATGTAAACAACAACTTTTATATTGGGTGCGATTAATCGCGATTAATCGTTTGACAGCAGGATTGAACTTTTTTTTTTTTTTTTTTTTTACTATTTATTGAAGTTTTGAATTGTATCTAATATTTTAATACTTAATTTTCATGATCTAAATATTCTTAAGAATTAAACGTTTGTTGTCATTTGAAAGTGTGTAGGCTTTCTTGCATTATTATGCTGTTATGATTATATATTAAGTGGCATAAAATTGTCTTAAAATGACAATAATATCACTTATCACAATTATTTCTGGGCCAATAAATCGAACTGAGAAGTGCCTTTAAACCTGGAGCAGCCTGACTGGATTGAGCAGATTATTGCGCTGATTTGTTAACTAATTTACTTTTATTTGAAGAATTCTGTTTATAATTATAATTAGGCTATTAGGTTTGTACTTTTTCATCCTGCACTGGCTACTGATTCAGCTTATTTGAATTAATTTAATTTCATCTAATATTTTATTTTATTCTATTTAGAATTTGGTTAAACATTTATACCCCCGATTTCACAGACAAGGCTTAAATCTAGTCCCAGATTAAAGTGTAAATCTGAGCTGTTTCAACTGAAAGAAACTTGCACTGATTAATCCTAAAATATGTCAGTGCCTTTGTTTTGTCTCAAGATGCACACCAGTAATGTTTTTTCTAAGGCTCGTTTATAAAAATCACTTGTCCTTATTGAACTAAGGCCGAATATTGACTTAGTTTAAGCCCTGTCTGTGAAACAAGGATATTATAGTTTAGAATTTTTAAATTTGTTTTTATTTTAATATCGTTTTCAAATTTCCTATAATTTCAGTTCAGTTTTAGTTCGTTTCATTAATGGTTTTGCTAGTTTTAGTTTAGTTTTTATTTTGTGAACACATTTCTATTAAGTTTTTATATATTTTAGCTTCAGTTTTAGTTTTAGTAATTATAGTTGAGCAGAGTTAATGGAACACTTCCAGTGTAGACCAAAGCAAGACATTTAATTTGTAGCTAAATTTAGTTTAGTTAACTCTTGTAACCTCTTAATAAGGTTGCTGTTAATAAGGTTAACTCTTGTTCTTTACAATTGAACAAAAAACAAAAATATGCAACTTGTATGTAAAGGTTTTCAGAGTTACTAGAAGCTAGAGGCAGCTGAGTTTTTATCAGGGTTGAAGCTGAATTCTGCAGGACAGTGACCCTCCAGTGCTGGATTTGAGGAAACCTGTTCTTTGTAATTGTCATTGAAACTCTGTAAACTTAATTGTTGTCCATCTGTGTTTTCAATGCATTAATTTGTTGGATCTTTTGCACAGACGAGCCACCGGTGCACACTACTGCATGCCCCGTCTCTCCCTCTATGAACGTACACAATAAAAAGATGCAATCTAAAATGCTTTGAAACCTCATACTACTCAAAACTAAATGCGATATGGTGATTTAAATGATGTTTGCACTTTACCTTGACGAGCCGCTCCTGTGCGCATGCGCTTCAGATGAGCAAAGCAATCAATCAGTTCTAGAACCCCTTTTACACAGGACACGGCACGGGGTCAAATCACCGCGCGGCTGCCGCTTTCTCTCATTTTGGATGCGTTTTGTACAGTCAAAGCGGTGCTCGTGTCATGGACTCGAGGCGAACGTTGCCATAATAATCGCCAAATCCAGTCCAAATCCAGTCATGCAAAAAAAGAAGGAGAATGTTTAACACACCCACCAAACAAGAGAAAACGCATCTCAAACCCGTTGCACACCGTTTCCGCACCGGTTTGAGCTTGAACGTGCCCCGTTTATAGGTGGTTACGATATGTTAACTCCTACTGGAACATTATGAGCATAGTTTCTCCACCACATTTCCGTCCAGTCACATTCCTAAACCCCTGTAGAAAGTTCAGTGCTTGTACAACTTTATTAAACATTTTTCTTCATAGTGCTTGTTTGTGTTGAAAAAGATTATAGTCTTATATAAATGTAATCACAGTTAATAACCTTATTTAATTGTTCTGCTAGAAATGTCACTCAGCTTCTGTATTGGGATCACATTTTTAAACTTTTGAGTTTTTTGTTTTGTTTTGTGGTTATGCATATTCGCCTGTATTGAGTCAATATACTGGGCAACAGTGATTCTCTCCCATGTCTTATCATAATCCAGTTATGATATTGTAATGTGATTTGTAATATTCTGTGGCATAGTTAATGCTAGTATTATTAAAGTACAGATATCAGTATGCAAAGATATAAATCATATTTAGTTCAGGGTATTTTAGTGTTTTAGGCAGCTTTGTCATCTAAACAGTGTAGTCATTAAAAAACACTAGAAATTAACAATTTACAGTCATCACTCCCTACAGTAAAACTAAGCATGTAATCAATCAGGAGGATATGTAAACTGTCCAGTTCTTAGAAGGAACTCAACTGTCGAGCTGCAGTGTGTATCATCTCTCTGTGTGTTCATCCAGTGAAATGGCAGAAGCCAGTATCTCATGGGCTGAGGATCAGTTCATGTGTCCAGTGTGTCTGGATCTCCTGAAGGATCCAGTGACGATTCTTTGTGGACACAGTTACTGTATGAGATGCATCTCAGTTTGCTGGGACGAGGAGGATTGGAAAGGAATCTACAGCTGTCCTCAGTGCAGACAGACCTTCACACCAAGACCAGTTTTAGGTAAAAATGTGGTGTTTACTGAAATGGTGGAGAAACTGAAGAAGACGAGACTCCAAGCTGCTGCTCCTGCAGTTCATCACACTGGATCTGGAGATGTGCATTGCGACTCCTGCACTGGAATTAAACAGAAAGCTGTGAAATCTTGTCTGGACTGTCAGAGCTCTTACTGTCAAAATCACCTTGAACAGCATGAGAATCTCTTCAGAGGTAAAGGACACAATCTGATGGACGCCACTGGAAGACTGCAGGAGATGATCTGCCCTCAACATGATAAAATGCTGGAAATGTACTGCCGTACCGACCAGCAGTGTATCTGTATGCTGTGTTTAGTAGACAAACACAAAAATCATGACATTGTATCAACTGCCGCAGAAAGAAAAAAGAAGCAGGTACTGCTCCATACTGGATCTCATAAGCAACAGAAGAAGATACTTTTTTCTTCTTTTTTTTTCAAAAACAGTAAAAAAAAAAATTACTGACCCCAGACTGTTGAATGGTAGTGTTGATTTAATCATAGTTTTGTTTTCTGCAGAGAAAATTACAGAAAATAATCCAGCAGAAAGAGAAAGATCTTCAGGAGCTGAGAGAGGCTGTGGAGTCTCATAAGGTGAGTTTGGAGAAGAAGAAAAGCTTGAGTGTCTCCTCCAGTGCTGGAGCGCTTTTAGTCCCACTGAACCCCACTGTGTGATTGTAATGTGTGTCCTATAACAGCGCTCTGCACAGACAGCAGTGGAGGACAGTGAGAGGATTTTCACTGAGCTCATCCGCTCTATTGAGAGACGTCGCTCTGAGGTGACGCAGATGATCAGAGATCAGGAAAGAGCTGCAGTGAGTCGAGCTGAAGAACAACTGGAGCAACTGGAGCAGGAGATCAATGATCTGAGGAGGAGAGATGCTGAACTGAAGCAGATTTCACAGACAAATGATCATGTTCATTTCCTCAAGGTAACAGAGATCTTCTTAAACACAGGACTGAGGACTTCAACAAGCGTTTGTGATTACAGAGAATGTTTTTGTCTTTGTTACTGTAGAGTTTGCAGTCTGTCTCTCTCTCTGGATCTACAGACAGCTTCGCTGTCAGTTCTCATCTGTCTTTTAATGATGCAGTGAAATCAGTCTCTCAACTCCGAGACAAACTGCAGCAGTTCTGCATAGATGACATAAAGAAGATATCTACAAGAGGTAAACACTGATTTATTCTCAGAAATTAGTTCAACACCATTCATTAAATATATAAACAGATATAAGTTTAATTTCTTCTTGACTTGAGAATTAAACTACAGATGTTTTGTAGTTAAAACCATCCAGGTCATTCTGACTCCTGAATATCAGACCAGAGAGGAGTTTCTACAATGTGAGTTACAATGAATAATTCACACAAGTCTAAAATCTAGTCTAGTGGAAGAGTCTGACTGCTTTATGCTAATGTTAAATAATTACATTTTACTATGTGTATTTAAAATACATTGGCTTGATGAAAATAATGATAAACGAATTTGATTATGGATTAGTTGCATCTGTGACACTAAATGAAAAAACTTTTTAAAAAGTTTCTTTATCGTTATAAAACTTAAATAGACCAGCTAAAGTATAATATTAATGATGGAAGTTCATGAATGATTATGTGTTTTCCATCAGATTTCCGTCAGCTGACTCTGGATCTAAACTCAGTGAGTAATGGGGTCCATCTGTCTGAGAGAAACACAGTGATGAGTTACACTAAACTACATGAGGGATATCCTGATCATCCAGACAGATTTGATTATTGGTGTCATGCGTTGTGTAGAGAGAGTTTGACTGGACGCTGTTACTGGGAGGTGGAGTGGAGCAGCAGTGATGAGGAATCAGGAGTAGATATATCAGTGGCATATAAGAGCATTAGGAGGAAGGGAGAGGGCGATGAGATCGATGCTGGACGTAATGATCAGTCCTGGAGATTGTTCTGCTCTCCAGACTATTGCTCATTCTGGCACAATAACATCGAGACCGTCCTTCCTGTAACTCAAATTTCCAGTAGAATAGGAGTGTATGTGGATCACAGCGCAGGGATTTTGTCCTTCTACAGCGTCTCAGACACAATGAGTCCCATCCACAGAGTCCAGACCACGTTCACTCAGCCGCTCTATGCCATGTTTGGACCTTATAGGTACTCAAGGTTGAAACTGTGTCGTCTTTATTTGTATTAGTAAAAAATACCACTAGTGAATGTGTAATAATCACAGATATATTAAGAGTAAAATGTCTCATTAAATCAATATAATAATGGCTGTGTAAGAGCTGATAATGAATGTAGAAATTTGATGTAACTCCTGTTTGACTGTCAAAAGTAGCTTTTAAATCTCCCAGTAAACTATTTTGAATAATACAGTGGTAAGGATAAGTTTCTAAGTATCTGGTTTTCTGCACTGATTACTCAAATGTTGTCTGATCTTAATATAACTTACAATTGTAGACAAACACTATCTGACCTAATAACATAAATAATTTAACTTTTCATATATATTTTTTATTAAACACAGTGAGTATTCATTTACATTTCAGGGTGGAGAATGTAAGTGAACCCTTGGATTTAGTAATAGACTGTATATGGTTCACAAACTTATTTTTGCCTCTGTATATCCAAAACATTGTCTTCTCCTGCAAAGTGTCATAATTCACACTTTTGTTAACAGGTGTTTTGTTGAAAAGTTGTGCTTGATGCAAACAAAGTTTATTTTTAAACAAACATTAAACATTCTTATTATAACACCCTCAGTTGTGCAGACTTTATTACTTATTTTGTATTGTTAGGAAAATATAACATACGATAAAAATAATGCACGTTTTGGGGGAAAAAAACACGTCAGGTGTAATAATGTAAAATATGAGATATCAGCAAGTTAAAAGGAGAGGACAAGCTTTTGATTTTGCTTGTATGAATATATGAACTTTGTCCTTTCATTTACTGTAGTTTAGGTGACGCTTGGAAATGCCTCAGATACCTTCCCAGCAAACGCAAAACATTTTTATTTTATAAAAAATATTTTGGTTGGAGTTAGGTAATGTTTTAGTACAACTTTTTAAAAATGTTTTAGAAACCACACCTAAAATAAAATAATAATGTTACCAAAATAAAATGTTTTAAAAACTTTGTGAAAATACCAACCTGATACTGTAGTAGAGAAAATCTTCTAGGTCTTGCAAAAAAATATTCAAAGTCGGAGTTCCAGGAGACAAAAATAAGACTTTATTTGAAGAAACAACAAAGCCGAGAATGCCCTACAAAGGCAAAAGACCTTAACTCGCTAGAGTGTGAAACTGAGAAAAATGACTTTAAAAATTGTTATTTGTCCAGACAAATTAATTATAGTAGGACACTGGAAATCTGGCAATTAGATGTTTTAGTAATGGAAGTTATCTACATAAAAAAGTTTGAGCTCAAACTTTATTTTTACCCCTATTTTGAAGTTACTGTATTCTGCCTTTGCATTGTCGGCAAAAAGTGAGATGTCACGCTAAGGCACAAGGCAGTAACTTCCACATTATATACAATATTTGGTTGCTGATCACCATTTACAAAATCATTATAGTAACACCTGCATAAAATCTAGTGATCATGGGCTATCTCATAGGCTATAACATATAGTAATGTGACTATATACATTTTTTTCTGACCGTAACAACCAGACAAAAAAGTTAAACATGTGAGTGGATACCGTTTTGCAACCAATTTATTTGCAATGTTCGCTGACGTTAAAGGATGCAAAACATACTTATCGTATTGCTTTTACATCGAATTGAATTAAAATAGCCTAACCTAAAAGAACGACTTGTGGATTGATGTGAACGCCAGCAAGTAGGAATAATACTCAGAATGCTTGTGGATTAAACATTTCCGATGACGTTCATTGCCATGGATTTTACCCGGTTAAAAGAAAAAGTAGGAAATGGATTTAATTGGGAACTGTTACTACTGATTTAATGCGTGATCATGATACGTTGTCACGGCATTCGAGTCCACACGCACGTGCAGAAGTGGGCAGCCCCAGACTAACAGGCCATCCATCCGGATTAAAGCTGCAAAAACTGTGCAACTGTGTATATATGCATCACATCTAAGAATGTCTCTCAAATGCTTGTACTAAAATATTCTGCAATTCGAGATCACAATATAAGGCGCAAGCTGATGTGTAATTTTTTATTTGTAATTTAATGCACAAGTAAATGTGAGCACAGTGCAGAAAATATGCGCTAATTTTCCATTAATTTATAAAGTATGAAAATGAAACCATATTTAAATGCATAAAATAACTAATTTTACATTCTGGCATTTAGGCCTATATGAGGTTGACTTCTGCCCTTTTTCACATTCTTGGACATGGGGATTCAAAAGAGAACAGTTTTTTTTTTGCTTTTCCACAGAGTTCAATTTAGGTATGATAGAATTGTTGCAGTTAATTTATTTTGGCAACTAATGGAATGTTAAACGTTTACAGTTTACTTTTTCAGAGTTCATTGATCATATAAAATTCAGTGAAGGTTGACTAAACACTGAACTATGTAGTTATCTGCATGTCTCATCCATGAGTATGCAATGTTGGAGAACAAGCTTTTCGGGGTGTTGAGAACCAGAACCAAGCTGACTGAGTAATAAAGCCATTGTAAGCCCCTTTATTAAAATACCTGGAGGTGAGGAATAATACACACACAAAAAAAATATTCACTCAGTATTACTCAATTTAATTCACAACTTTTCCAATTACAATTAATTAATTGTATTCATTTGTGTTTTAGGCACTAAAACAGTCCAGGACTTTATAGTCAAACACATTTTTATATTGAAATAATTAAGATTGCTGTGCCACCACAGACTGGTTGCTGGCTCCGCCACTGTCTGTGTTGTCATATCTTTTGCTTCATAATGCACCACACATTTTCAATTGGAGACAGGTCTGGACTGCAGGCAGGCCAATCTAGTACCTGAACTCTTTTACTATGAAGTCACACTGTTGTAACACATGCAGAATGAATCTTGGCATTGTCTTGCTGAAATAAGCAGGGATGTCTCAGCATTATGCTACAGTTTTCTCATGCTATAGCCAGACAAACGTATCAAAACACGTTATAAAAATTTACACTTCCAGCTCTTCATTATAATTGGCTCAGCTGTGTTCAATACCATTGTAATATACTCTGTAACCACACAGTTGAGAGTCTTAAAGTGTCCCTATTATGTATTTTTGAAAAAGTATCTTTCATGCAGTGTGTAACACAGCTCTAAGTGAATGAAAACATCCTGCAAAGTTTTAAATCTGAAACCACGAGCAGTTCTGTCTTAGCAAGGTTGAGCTGAAGGTGATGGTCCTTCATCCAGCTAGAAATGTCTCTCAGACAGGCTGCAATGCGAGCAGCTACCGTTGGATCATCTGGTTGGAATGAGAAGTAGAGTTGAGTGTCATCAGCATAGCAGTGATAAGAAAAGCCATGCTTCTGAATGACAGATCCTAATGACGACATGTAGATGGAGAAGAGAAGTGGTCCAAGTACTGAACCTTGAGGAGTCCCAGTTGCAAGAAGTTATTACTTAGAAACCTCACCCCTCCAAGACACCCTGAAGGACCTACCTGAGAGGTAGGACTCGAACCACAGGAGTGCGGTTCCTGAGATGCCCATCTTTCTGAGGGTGGACAGGAGGATCTGGTGGTTAACTGTATCAAAAGCAGCAGACAGATCCAGCAAGATGAGTACTGTAGATTTGGAAGCCACTCTTGTCAGTCTCAGGGCTTCAGTAACCGAGAGCAGGGCAGTCTCAGTTGAGTGGCCACTCTTGAAGCCAGATTGGTTGTTGTCCAGGAGGTTGCTCTGTGCAAGAAACATAGAGTGTTGGCTGAACACAACTCGCTTGTCTTTGCAATGAATGGAAGAAGGGATACCGTCTGTAGTTTTCTAAAAGTGCAGGATTTAGAGAGGGTTTTTTAAGCAGTGGGGTTACCCGAGTCCGCATGAATGCTGTGGGAAATGTACCAGTGTGAAGAGAGGTGTTGATAATGTGAGTAAGCGCAGGTATGACTGAAGAAGAAATGGCCTGAAGGAGGTGAGTGGGGATAGGATCAAGTGGACAAGTAGTAGGATGATTGGAAAGGATAAGTTTGGAAACGTCCATCTCTAAGAGTGGAGAGGAGGAGGAGAGAGAGTGTGTATTTTTCGTTATGAGGTTATCATCAGTTTGTGGTGTGGGGAATTGGTCACTGATGGATCTTGTTTTATTTGAGAAGAAAATTGCAAAGTCATCAGCTGTAAGAGTTGATGAGGGAGGAGGACAGAGAAGAGAAGAGAAAGTTTTGAAAAGTGTGTGAGAGTCAGAACAGTTGTTAATTTTGTTGTGGTAGTATGTCGTTTTAGCAGTGGAGACATTTGCACAGAAGGAAGAGAGGAGTGATTGATACACACTAAGGTCGGTAGAGTTTTGTGATTTGCTCCATGTCCTCTCTGCAGCCCTGAGTTTAGAGCAAATTAAAACAGCCAAGGGGCAGATGGGGTAGTGCATGCTGGTCTGGATGAAAGGGGCCAAAAGTTGTCTAAGCAAGATGTTAGAATGGAGCAAAGAGTGTCAGTAGCACTGTTTGTTTCCAGTGCTGAAAACTGAGCGGGTGAAGGAAGTGAGGATGAAACCATAGAGGATAGGCGAGAGGGAGAAAGCGAGCGTAGATTATGCCGAAAGGTGACCTGCGGAGGAGTGTGTGCTGTGTCAGGAGTCAGTGTGAGGTTAGAAGTGATGAGGAAGTGGTCTGAGGTGTGCAGTGGAATAACTAAAGTGTTGTCAGTGGAGCAATAGCGCATGTAGATGAGGTCAAGTTGGTTACATGATTTATGAGTAGCCATAGTAGACACTCGCTTGAGATCAAATGAGGTGAGCAGAGTGATGAAGTCAGCAGCCTGGGGTTTTTCTAGGTGGATGTTAAAGTCACCGAGCAGGACCAGAAGAGTACCATCCTCAGGAAAGTTTTACAGTAACACATCCAACTCCTCCAAGAAGTTGCCCAGTTGACCTGAGGGACGATAAACAACTACACAATGGATTTTAACAGGGTGGGTAATAGTAAAAGTGATTCAAATGAACTGTTGCCTGTAAGAGATGGTAGAAGATCAAATTTCCATTCATTTGAGATACATTTGAGAAAGAAAGAAAATCACTCACCGCTCTTGACTAAATTACTTTGTAGTTTTAACAAGAATTAATCCACAGTCAAACCAAAAATCATTCACACACCAGATATAATTTTAGATTTTTTTTTTACTAGTGGGTGCAGGACACTAGTTCATTTATGCAAGTGAGGATAGCAAAATAAAGTAAACTCTGACATATTATACCCAAAAATTCTTCATACAGTGGACTACCA